TCACCATTTCAAACTCAAACAACTTTCTTTTCATGATGAAAAAGAGAGAGTTCCAAGTATTTGGTTAGCTCTCCCGATTACTTGGGTCCGAGAAGTTTTTCTTAAGCTTCAAGTAATTGTCATCCATTTCCAACCACTTATCCAAACACCATTCAAACATAATTTCTTTCACGATGAAAACGAGAGAGTTCCAAGTCTTTGGTTCGCTCTCCCGATCACTTGGGTCCGAGAAGTCTTTCTTAAGCTTCAAGTAGTCTTCATCCGATCAACCTCACCCTTTCGAGCACAACCCTATCTTTAAGATGAAAAAAGAGAGAGTTTCAAGTCTTTGGTTCACTTTCCTGATTACTTGGGGTCCGAGAAGTCTTTCTTAAGCTTCGAGTAATCGTCATCCGTACCTACCTTTTACCTCCCCTTCTGTCCCGTTTCTTTTCGTGGTTGTTACCACGAACTACGAATGCTCTATTTCTTGATTCTCGTCCTAATGTAAGATACGTAGGCACAAGATTGTGATGATCTTGGCGAGCACACTTCCCGTTTTCTTCCCTATCACATTTCCACCTTTCTCCCTTATTCCACACAATCCCCTCCATCTCTGTTTTCCCCCATCCTTTCTCCTAGTCGAACTACGATGCTCTGATTTCTCATTCTCGTCTGAATGAGTATATGTAGGCACAAGAGCCCCAATCCTTGGCGAGCACCCTACCCTCTAACCATCCCCTTTCCCCCAACGTCTTCATCCCTTTATCGTATCCTTTTAGTATTTAGTATTGAGAAGAGAAGAAATAAGCTTAGCTAACTTTTGTCACAACTCGAATTAACAGGTTCCCGTTGAGTACAACGGACGTGAGGGGTGCTAATACCTTCCCCTCGCATAACCGACTCCCGAACCCAGGAACATTTGGTTGTGAAGGCCGTGTTCCTTCCGCTTTATGAGGTTTTCTCGATATTTTCCTCTCTAGTTTCCGGGATAAATAAAGTTTGGTGGCGACTCTGTCGAACCGCATTCCGCACCTTTCGTGCGAGGGTCGTTTCTATGAAAGATTTTTTCGAGGTGCGACACCTGGCGACTCTGCTGGGGACTTATTGCTCCATGCAAGAGAGAGTCGAGCCTATCTTAGTTCGAGTTGTTAGCTTGTTGTTTGTTTTCTTCTCGCTTATTTGTATCCTTATCTTTGTGGCTTGTGCTTGTGGCATTGTGGGTTTGCTATGCTTTTGGGCATTTTGTGAGATGGCTCTACACCCGAGTCCGAGTAAAACTCTAGGATTAGGATGATGGTTGTGTAGTGGAGACTTGCGTGGAGTCTTTCATGTTAAGTTGAAGCGAAAACCCCGCTTGAAGTAGATTCTCCTGGGATGTTGTTGTTGTGGTAAGTCTTTGTCATAGCAGTAATGTTTTCGAGCATGAATCGTTGATCCCAAGGACCTTTAACCTTTTTATCCATGGTAGTTGGTAGTGTTTATTCTTTGTGGATTAATATGAACGCCCTAATCAGATGAGATCCCTTGAACGTATTACTTCCTTACAGTAATATTTTCAACCTCGATCTATGACTATGAGAACCTTTTCTAGAATTCGTGTGTCGATGGTTATATAGTTGAAGCCTCCGAGAAGTCTCTCTCGTGTGGAAGATACGAAAAACTCACCTATAGGAGATTCTTTTAAGGATATTACTGTCGTGATGAGGCTTTGTCATGGTTGTAATATCTTTGAAAGATATCCATGACTCTAGGCACCTACCCGTTTTAGAATCCTACTCGTGGGGTTTTTTTGAGCAGTGACAGTAATTCATGAACCGTTCACCCGACTAATCTCAGAACTGTTTGAATTTGTGATCCTGTGATCCTGGATCTTGCATATTGCATTGCATATCATTTGCATTGAATTTCATTTGTTGTGCATCTTGCATTCTCCTTCCTTCAGTAGTTTCTCATGTTTCTCTTTCCTTCCTATCCAGTAAATCAAGCTGATTCCTCGACACCAGTACGCAACTAGAGCCAATACAAGACGAATGATGGAGCAGATTCAACAAGAGCAAGCTGTCTTTAGGGAAGAGTTGGATTCTATCAAAGGAAAGATTGATCAGATCCTTGAAGCCATCATTACAGCCCGAAAGGAAGAAGAGATGCGTGAAGCTACTGTCGCCAACAACAACGGTCAAGGACAAGGGTCTACCACAAGACTTCCAGTTCCAATTCCTAACCCCTATGGGATGCAAATGAACTTCGCTACCGCAGCCAAAGAAAACACTACTCAACCAATCCCAGCGCCTGGAGTTACTGTTGAAGCCATCCTGCAAGCCCAACCAAACATGGTTTAGATCCCAGTTCCTCAAACCGAAGATAATTTGATGGACCAGTATGACGATGTTCAAAACTACCATGCTGTTATCCCCATCACCAGTCATGCCGCTGCTCAGGATTCAGAAGCTTTGAAGATGTGTCGAGATCTAACTGAGAAACTCCGAGTCATGGAAGGATATAGTTCAAACCCTCTCAGTGCTTTGGAAATGTGCCTGGTGCGTGATGTTGTCATTCCTCCCAAGTTCAAAGTGCCCAAATTTTCAAAGTAAAAAGGTCTTAGTTGCCCAAAAATTCATCTGAAGATGTACTGTCGCAAGATGGCTGCCTATGACAGAGACGAAAAGCTAATGATTCATTTCTTCCAAGACAGCTTGTCTAGGGCATCACTTGAATGGTATATGCAGCTAGAACGTAACTGCGTGCGCACTTGGACTGAGCTAGCTGATGCATTTGTCAAGCAATACAAATACAACACTAATCTTGCTCCTAATCGTACTTAGCTTCAGAGTATGACTCAAAAGGATAAGGAATCCTTCAAGGAGTACGTGCAACGATGGAAAGAGCTAGCCGTAAGGGTGCATCCATCTCTTGTCGACCGTGAGCTGATTGATATTTTCATGGGCACCTTGCAGGGCCAATACTATGAAAAGATGATTGGTAGTGTCTCTGCTGGATTCTCTGACTTGGTTATTGTGGGTGAGAGAATCGAAGAAGGATTGAAGAGCGGAAAGATTCAAGGAGGTTCAAATAGCCAAGCCAATGCTAAGAAGCCTTTCAATGGATACAAGAAGAAATAGGGCGAATAAAATGCCATCTTTGTGTAGAAAGGAAAAGCTTCTCAACAATCTCCCACTCTCATGCCTTATCAAATGCCATACTATCCGTATCCATTTGTTGCTGCTGTGCAATATGCTTCAATGCCTTATCAGCCAGTTGTTTAAGCAGTGCAAGCTCAGATGCCTCAGCAACAAGCTCCTCAACAACAGGCCTACAACCAACAAGGATACCAAAATCCTCCTCAGCAACAACAACAGCAAGCTGCTCAGCAACAACAAGGTGCTCGCCAACAGCGTCAGCAGAGAACGTGGAAGCCATACAGAGGCTTTGATCGCCTACCAATGACATATGCTAACATATTTTCTCAGTTGATGGAGAAGAAAGCTGTCGTCCCGAGAGATTTGGCTTCCCCAACTGTCATTCCTACCGACTACGATGCAGATGCTCACTGTGAGTTTCATAAAGGCGCTCTCGGTCACACCATTGAGAACTGCATGTCTTTCAAGCACAAAGTTCAAGACATGATTGACAAGGATGCTATCAAATTCAATGGGAAGTCTCCAAACTTAATCAACAACCCGATGCCACCGGCCAGCTATTGCCACACTACAAGAAAAAATGAGATTTACGACACTTGAGTTGCGACAGTTATCAAAAAACCGTCCTTATTCCAAGATTGCGACGGTTGTCACGACAGTCGGGATCAACTGTCGTAGATTTTTTGCGACAGTTATCAAAAAACCGTCCTTATTCCTGGACTACGACAGTTCTCACGACGGATTGAGCCAACCGTCGCAAATTTTTTAGACATGTTGTATAAAATAATGCGACACTTACCATAATCATAATCACTATTGTCGCGACAGTTAAGGCGAATTGTCGCAATTACTTTAGCCAATCATAATCACTATTTTTTTATTCCTTTAATTTTTCACTTTTTTCTTCATTTTTATTTTCTAACCTTTTCAATTTTATTAATTAATTTAATAAATAATTATTATAATTTTCATGACAATATAATAATTATTATAATTTGAATAAATAAATTACTAAAAGTATTTATAAAACATAATATTAATTATTATAATTTGAATAAATAAATTACTAAAAATATTTATAAAATATAATAATAATAATAATAATAATAATAAATTAAACTCAAAATACATAAATTTTTTAAAAATTACACTTCATTTTATTAAAATATTTGATGTATCAAAATTAAACTATAAAAATTAAAACACTATATATACTTAAAATAAAACTTTAATTTTAGAAACTATTTTTACAGAAAAAATTAATCTCAAAATTATACCCAAAATTAAAGTATTAAAATTAAACTATATATCAAAAAAGTTAAACTCAAAACTATATACCCAAAATTTATATATCATGACGGTGACCTTACCCGTCGTTCTCCCATTCCCTTCACAAAGGTTGCGACAGTGATTTCAACCGTCGGCCTCCATAAAATCTTTCACGCTAAAATTATCCAAATATTTTTTTTATCAAAAGTATTATTTTCTTCTAAACAATCAAAATGAAACTTCTTCATTCGTTTCCACTTCATCATAAAACTGGAATCTTTTTTTCACTAACACAATTTTTTAATTCATATTACTAGTCAAATACTGAATTATATTTACATATTATTTAAAAATAACTTTTGTATTCTTACATGTCATAAGTTATCAAAACTTTTTGAAATTTTTTTTGACACAACTTTCTGAAAATTTTAAAACACAATAAAATACTTTTGATTTTTTATAAAAAAATTCAAACAATAAAACACAAAATGGCGTAAATGGAACCTAAACAAAATGACGAGGCTACCCTCTATTCTTTCGGGTTGTGGATAACTTGAACTAGTAGTGTATGGTCAATTACAACGAAAAGATAGTGTGATCAAGAGTTAGCGAATGGAAGTAACAATAGTAAGAAGCTTCAGCAGCGGTTTCAGTTTCACTCATTCTCTTCCACCGAGAAGTAGTTTTTATACAACATTTTCTAAAAAGAAAGATGTTCAAGATAACACTAACGAGTCTCAACCTTTTTCATCATTGAGGATTTCGAACTCAAATCTTGTTCGTGCTGCCATTGGAGTGTTTGGATTAGGGTTTATTGATGCAGGGTTAGTTAGTAATTAATTATCACTGTTCTTGTTAATTTCATTTTCATTTAGTTTGTAACGATTTTGATTCTTCGACCGAATGTTTCAGGTATAGTGGAGACTGGTCGAGGATTGGAGTAATTACGCAGCAGAATGAGGAATTTCTAAGGCTTGCAGCTTTTCTAGTGGTTCCTATTTGTGTCCTTTTTGTTTTTAGGGTTCCCAAAGAACCTAATTATTGAGCTTTTCAAATGCTATATTTAAAACTGTGAGTATGCAAAATTCAATTACGAATTTACAGTATTCCATGTAAAGAAAATGATCAAAAGTTTGAAGGATTAAGACAGTAGTTTGTAACTATTGGTGAGTGACCAATCAATTAAGACCGAAGTTTGAAGAGGTTTACTAATATTCTGCTATTAAATTAGCCCCTTAAATTATTGAAGTATGATTGTTTTGTTTAGCAAGATGATATGGGATATATAATGCTGATAAAAGAATTACTTTTTTAGAAAAATAGTTACCTGCTACATTTTTTGATATCTCATTTCTATGAGGTTCAACTTCCGGTCATAATTGTATGTGTTCGATAATGTTGTTTTTAATGTATCTTTTTAGTGTATATGATAATCTACCTTTTAGTTACTAAACCACATAGAATTGATTATGATGCTTTAGTTGTTCTGGAGCAAATGGATCATAAGTTTCAGAAAAGAGTATGTTGTCAAGTGGAGATTGACATCCATATAATGGGAGTTGTGCTGGTGATACATTTAGACTAAGGTGTGGTTGGAAGGGAAGAGATTTGTGGCTATTGGCAGGAAATTCTGAAGTAGGTTATGGTATGTGGTTCTGTTTTTCTCTTGGTGGATTTTTGATCAGTTGACGGTGGTTTTAGTGGTATGAGCTTTAACCTTAATCCTAAGGGGTTTATCTTGACGCTTTTCCTTGGTTTTTTTTGTATGGTTTTTTGATCTTGACGCTTTTCCCTAATTTTAAGTTTAATTTTTGGAAAATGGGAACTTGTTGGTGAAGTTGTTTATTACAAGTATAAATGAAATTGAGTTTACTTTGCTATTTTGGATCTTTTTTCATCTCAGTTTTTACATTTAGTTTCTTTTCTTTATTTGTTTGAAATTGTTAATATAAGTTGGTGAGGATTCAAGTCTAATTATCTGGCATATGGTATCTGCTTATACAATGCATTAGAATTAGAAATACTTTGAACTTAAATTCATTTGGTTGCATATTGATTTGCTAATTGTTTATAACTCTGGCAGAAAACAAGTGTCAGAGAGCTTGACTTAGAGGCTGCACTTGCTGAGCGTAAGGTCTTTCAGATTTCCATTCGGTTTTCACTAGTCCGCCTTTTGTTGTTCAGTTATATGCATGTCATAGGTATAGACCCTCATTGTAGAAGAGTTTATTCATTGTTCATTATTTCAGTTTTCTAATTTTTTTTCATCTAATTTGTTTTTTCTTTCTGGATGCGGTTTTAATGCCTTGATACATGTGGAGGGACTGGTTTTTTTTATCCAAGTTGTTCTCCTTTTTTCACATCAATGAACTATCATTTTTAGCAGAAGTTTGTGATGTTTCCTTTGTTCCAAGACCTTTAGACAGAAGCTAAAGACATGCTGCCAATGTCGGTTGACCAATGCCTTCTTTAAATTTTGGTTCAAATAGAAGGCCCTGTTGTGGAGTTACATGGATCAACTTGGTTGTTGTTGATATAACAAAATATATCATGTTCAACTTACAACTCCCCAACTGTAAAAAGTTTAATTTCATTGCTTTCATTAATTTCAATTTCATGCAGTTTTTTTTCTTATTAATTAATTTGTTGAAATATTTTTTGTTTGTTATGCAAGTTTCTTGTTTACTTATGGCTTTACAATATCAAAGAGGAGCATTCCAAGAAGATTGAGTTCACTCATTGTATTGGACAAGTATATATGTTGTCTTCTTTTAATCAATTTATGTAGTTTTTTCATATTGAATCATGAGATGATTATAGACATTTCAATGTTATTTATGAAATTTCATTTTTAAAATATTCTTGACTCCTAGTAATGTTTCACATAAAATCTAAGTTCACCTTAACTATATTTATCTGTTTTAGAACAAGTGTTGTCTTATTTAGAAAGTATGTCGTGCCTTCAATTTTCTCTTTGATTTACTTTTAATACGAGTTATGTCTCACATTTGTAGGTTCTTCCACTTGCATGGAAGCACTTTAGCTTCAAAAGGCAACGTGAACCAGTGAATGAAAGCTTGTCCATGATGCCTCTGAAATTGATTGAACATGTTCTACCATGGTTTATTGGATCACTACATAAAGATGAAGCATACATGTTTCTGAAAAAATATAGAATTAGAAGGTTATATATCTACTTTGAACTATTTCTCACTAAACTAGTATTTTGAAAAACTTACTTTATAGATTATGACAACTTGCCTATCTGTTCCAACTCCAACAATAGATTCTACTTTAGTCACTCTCTTCTTTGGTTAGGCTTGCAAAGCTCATAAAATGGTTGGTGTTTGTCTTTAAGTGCATCATGTTTCTGTCCTGCTAACAAAATTGCTCGACCTTCCTATGCTTGTGCATTGTCTAGTAAAGATGGCTTAGTATTAAGTTAAATGAGAAAATATACATAGACCTACCATGTCTAGAAATTGATCCCATGAATATGGTTTAATTCCATTGTTGGTGGCCTCATCTTTCTCTGCCTCAGTTGATGAAGTAAAGCCAACTATGGCTGTAACCACCACAACCAAACTTAGGTACATACATAAATGCCTTTAATTCTGACCTAAACCATGCATATATTAATATCCAAATTAAAACTTGTAAATTTACCTTTCAATCTCTTAGATGATATACATTTTGGATTCAATATCTGAACAAAATATGTAAAATTATGAAATTATGAAGTATTTAGAGTTGAATTCAAATTCAAAACATCTGATTAAATTGGAAGAGATGTTTAGTGTCTTGTCTAAAATAAAATTTAACTCTTAATCTATTGTTCTGTAAATAAACTAAAAAAATTATAGAAGTAAATTTGTATGCTTTAATTACCTCTTTAACCTTCTTATCTTGAATAAAAACAAAATCTATTTCAGCACGATCTATGATAAAATTTACAGCTCCAGCCCCTGCATCAAAATATTTCTTCATTTAGATCAAAGCACTAACATCATTCTCATGGAACAAACAATGTTTCATTAGGTAGCTTAACATAGTAAATCATTTTCATACTAATAATGAGGTCAATTTGTTGATCTGTAGGTGAACCTGTACGAACCGTTGGCTGAAAAGAGCTTTGGAAAATAACCTGAAAAGAGCTTGTAGACATGTCATAAGTATGTTAATAGATAAGTTTAAATAAGCCAATTGTAACAGACTCTGATTCATTTCATATCTATCATGAGATATAGTAACAACATAACCAGTTCACCTTGCTAATGTTGTAGAAAATAAATTGAATAATGTGGCTGCCCCATCTACTATCTCCTCAACCGCAGTTAGGATGGAAGAACTGCCCAAACACGGGGAAGGTTCAATTCTCGGTATGGACAAAAGTTTGCAAGTTATTGAAGTTTTAATACACTTTTTTGTTTTGATAGTTACCTGTAACTGATCTATTTGTTGACTTGTGCTAGTCTCGAGCCCAACCTCGAGAAATAATGGTCGAGGTTCTTAACGCTTTGCAAGGACTGAATGTCTGTTGGAAATAAATTGGACACTATAATATGAAGTGCAGATGGGTCGTCGGCATCGCTGGTCATCAAGGAGGAATGGTGAACAATTTTGTGCTTAATAATAATTTCCTTGGAAATGTCAGCATAATTGAGAGTGAAGCCGTTCCAAAATCAAGTGTAGTCAAGTTTGAACTGTAGCTAGTTATCTTGATAACCCTAATCTATTATTTATTTTAGATTTAAATTAATTGTTTGATTACCTGTTTAACAACTTTTTCATTGTTATTCACTAATGCTCGCAAGAGATAGAAAACTCTTTGCTAAATATTAGTAATTTGAAGCCAATGTTTAAGGGTCTCCAAATTATTATTTTTCCTCATTCTTCTTGTCATAACTTGAGTATTATGAATCCTAAACGGAGTGCAGATTTTTTTTAAAAAAAATATTTGCAACTTGCGGCGGTTCAAACCGCCACAATATACCATAGTTTTTTAAAAAGAAATATTTGCAACTTGCGGCGGTTCAAACCGCCACAATATACCATAGTTATTTTTAAAAAATATTTGCAACTTGCGGCAGTGCAAACCGCCACAATATACTTTCGCAATCAAGAATGAAAAATAAAAATCATTAAGCATGTTAAGACGGTTGAAAACCATCACAATATGGAGATTACGACAGTTAGCTACCCGTCGTGAAAATAACGACGGTTTGTACGACAGTTTTCACAACCGTCGCAATACGGCCTCGCGACGCACGTTTCTGCGACGGGTTTGAAACCGTCGTAACATACAAATTGCGACGGTTAAAACCGTCGTAATCTATCAAAATGAACCGTCGCAATTTGCCAATTTTCTTGTAGTGCCAGCATCAGATCAAGTCCAATCAAGTTCATCTCCCGAAGAAGGCAGTCATGTTGCCATTTCATATTCTGCATTTCTTTTAATTTGTCTTTGTTTGTTTAAGTACTGTATGCTTTGAACAATTTCCATTTTGTATTTCGTTTTCATTAATGTATCATTTATGCATGTTTTGAATTAGTTATGTCGTATTCACTCATGTTTCACTTATCACCGACAGATTTTCACTTCACTCTATCAACTGTTGTTTACCATGATTTGAGGGAGGATGATGAAAACGAGATACCCATAATTGCAAACTGTGTGCTTTCAGACAGAATCTCGTCAATGATGTACAGGCATTGCTTCAATTCCCCAAACACCGGAGATATAAGGAGGTAATCCCTAGTAAACCACTTTGAGCCTAAGAAGTAGCAGTTTCCTTCAGATCTATCAAACCTTTTACACTCAACCTGGGGCAGGGTAGTGTTCAGTTAATCCAATTCCGCATTCGGATCAACAAAGTAAAATCGAAAAGACGGTTGTTCATCAATGACCCATGACATGGCAGTCACAACCACTTAACAAAATAAAAAAAAATCATTAAAAGCCTGCTAAGTCAAACACCTCAAAGGGGACTTAGGCAACAATCAAGGCAATCCCGATGGACTTGACAAGAAAAATCAGTCCATGCA